GGGGGGCATCTTTTTTGACACTTTCAATATTTCTACTGTCCTGTATCAGCTGACTATGTACTTGCTCAACCACCCAAATAAAATCTCTTAAGACAAATTCAAAATAAGATTTCCTCTATGTAACTATTGTACTAGGGCTTGTGACACTAACCTCCTAACTTCCTACTTCGGTACACAGACATGCCTAACGATAAGCATCTCACATATACAGAAGTACTTTCTTTCCCCCATAAGTGCATTACTAATCTATATATAGTGGTGGTCAAAAAGGAAACAAATGTTAAGATTCATCAAGAGCGTGACGGAAAAATAACACTGAAAATAAAGTGTCATTATATTAATAAATGGTATGCCCTTATCTGGAACACTGTATTCAGTTCTGGTCTCCTTATCTAAAGGGAAACATCACGACAGAAGTATATAAAACATCAGAAGATAGATGGGGCACTTTACTTACTTTCATTCATCATACAATGAAATTCACAGGCAACAAGTTTGAGAAAAAAAGAAATACTTTCATCTTATATAATCACCTTTAGCTTACTTACCAGCTAATTTACTAGCACACAAAACATGTTAAGTAAGTTTCAAAGTGAAAATTTTATTTGCATTATTCATGCAAAAGTTCAAACTTGTGTATGAATAATAAGAATATCCAGGGTTACATTAGTAAGAGATGGTTTTCATTTTATGTTTAGATTATATGCAAACATTTTCATTTCAAGGCACAAAGACTCTAAAAGAGGAAATTAGGATATCTTTGTAGAGACAATTTTCTTTCTAGAATTATTTCAAAGCTTCTTATTTTTCCCCTTTGAAGCTTCTAACACTGACCATTGTTAGAGACAAAAGATACCGGGCTATAAAGAACACTGACGTGGCCTAGCATTAGAATTTACATGAGCTTATTTTCAAGCTGCTATGCCCAAATTCTTCCTCTTCATATATAAACAACAAATAAATACCAAGTATCCATTGAAAGCATTAACACCTTCCATATTCAATAAATAAAACCTAAACTCTCATCTGACAATATAAAGGTCATAATGTGTTCTAGCATGAATAAATTTGTTTAGGCAATTAAGTAATATCAGAAAACATGCCAAAATCTAGTTGAAACCACATTTTGATATCAATGCATAAGAAATATACCAAGATCAGAAATTATGACTGTCCTCTGTAATTACATAACATCATAGTATGATTCAAGTGAAAGCTTCATTTGAGATAAATAATGAAAATAAGTTATGGTAACAAACCATTTGAACTTTAAAATGAAATTTAATCCCATATTTTTGCATGTTTTTAATATACTGATAAAGTACAGAAACATAGATTCATTTTAAAAAGTGAAAACTTAAAATGCAAAAAGTCAGTAAAATTCTCAAGTTACTCTCCCACAGCAGAATTCAGCCATAGTATAAATATCATGTTAACACAAAATCCTATTTACCTTTTTAGATGAATAATCCACTAAAGTCAACAAGACTACTTGCACAGATAAAGTGAACAGCTCAAAATTATTATACTGCTAGAAGTCTTCTCTCTTACCCCAAGTTTTGTCTCATTTTCTATGCATTAATATAATAAATGAAACAGGATTTTTTTTTCCCCTCTCTAGGAGTGGGGCAGGAAGAGAAAAGAAATAAGAAATATAAAAAGCGTTCTCAACAAATCAATTGCTAAACACTCCTGAACCCCATTACTTCCTCCCCCCTAACTGCACAAAAGCCTTCCAAACACCTCATTGTCTCCAGAGAGTCTGATCACTCTTAAAACAACATAGAAATAAGCTTAAACATTAATAGCAAAACACCAAGATAAAACATGTAATCATTTAAACATATGTTTTTTACAACATATTCTATTTGAAAAAAATACTTTGCTGGAAATATAATTTCATCTCTACCATAAGAAGTCTAAATTAAGATTGAACTCTCAAAAACAATATCCTAAGTTAGTCTTTACCTATTGCATCACAAAGCAAATAAAAATATACACAAATAAAAATATATGCAAAATTTTTAATTGTCTTGAAGTAAAACAAACATCTGTTTGCAAGGTAAAACATTTCTCTGCCTTTTTACATCTAAGGTTTTAATCACAATGTTTTTCTGTTGCCATTTAATTCTTAGCAAGTATTCAAGAGAAAAATGTAAATATTGGCACAATTTCATATGCCATCGATACTGATCTTTTCTACCAGCTGCCCATATCTTTTGGGTAGTAGAACACTTTCCTAAGCACGTGTGGTGTAGTTTTTTTTGGGGAGAGGGCCACACTAAATGGTACTTCTTTTCCCCTAACAATTACCACTCCCAACCCACTTCGGTGGTTCAGTCCTCTTTCATAGCTATCTGTTGAGCTACCAGTCAATATAATTTGGCTGATAGCTCAAAAGATATTATTGCTGTTATACTGAAAGCGTATGCATTCAAACTCTGACAACAAGGTATTGGGAGGGGGGGAAGGGGGGAAACACCTGTTATAATTGCACTAGATTTTTTTCTTTTTTTAAATAAACTTTTACTTTCTAAATAATGTGTTTTAAAGGTATGTGATTTGATGATAATGTTTAATGTTAATATTTTGTATTAGATGTAGGGATGCCCACGTGACCTTAACTCTATATCCATGTAGTCTTACATTATGAGACCCACTTTGTGAGTGGTGTGTACACTGAACTAAGGGCAAAAATAAAGACTGAGCAAACCTCATTCTACTATTTAGAAGTACAAACACCTGACTTCCATCCTAGATTTCTTTTAATATTTTCATGAGAATATCTATAAGCCATCTAAAGACCACTTTTTCAGAGATGGTAAAGACACAGATAGGTGCCTAGCATAATTTTCAGACAAACTGAAGTCATATAGACACTTAGTTCCCACAGAAATCAATTAGTTCAGTGTCTGTCCTTCATTGGTGCTTTTCAAATTTTCACTAGGCATCTATGTTTATTCTTAGGTATCTAAATGCCTTTAAAAAGTAAGAATTCCACACAACATATTAATTCCACACTTACTTCTTCTTAACCATTACTTATTCAACTAAGTTCAGTGGAATATTATACAGTCCCATGAAATGAAACTGATAATCCAAAGAACAAAGGATGAGAACAATTTAACAAAAGGAAAAAAAACAACTTATAAACAAAATTCACAAAAAAACCTAGGTCAGATGCTATTACATGTATACAAAGGATATACAACTCTACAAAGGATACCTTCACAGCATAAGTAACAAAAGAAAATCTCAAAGAGTAAGATTTCTGTAGAAATAGCTCCAGAAAGAAATTATACTTTGGAATATTCTTCCAAAACATGCATCCAAAGAAACTTGTAAATCCCATGTTTTCGGCAAAAAGCAAGAGATTTTAAACAGCAGCTTGATTTTCAAGATTTCTTTTACTGGGGGCAGGGGGGTGTTCTTCCTACCCATCGTAAGGTACCACTGATTCACAAGAGTATCTGAATATTTATAGCAAAGGATTAGCCATTAATCTGGACTCCAGGAGGCAATTTCTTCAGCCATACACGAATCTAAGTTTTGCAGTTAGGAAGCAGCATGTCCTGCTTAGCCTAACTGGGGCTGAAAGCATCTCTCTCCTAGGCGGACAGCTAACTTCTGGGGTAAAAGGTGCATGCATACTGATTGGTCAGCTAAGCGGCCAGAAAGCGCGTGCTTTTATTTAGCTGGCTGACCACCTGTAAGTAGGCTAAACAACACGTGCTACCAATACAGGCAATTGATCTGCCAGGACTCAAGTCAACCAAAATTGTATCTCTTTAAACATATTTAAAAATTAAGATTATTTTCAATATTCAAGTATATTGGTGATACATGGGGATGGGACCTTTCTCCAAGGCAGTGCACTCTGAAGAGCTGATGTTAGTTTTGAAAGACAAAGTGTGTGTGTGTTTGGGGGGGGGGGATATTGCTTGTTTGTTTTGTCTCTCAATCTACAGTTAAAGTACACATGCTTACAAGCTTCACTGTCTTACAAAGCAAACAAACCAACCAACCCAACTGAAATATATCACAAATGCTGCATGGAATAATACACCTCTTAATTTTGTGTGACTTCATGGTTTTCTATTCTCATGAATTTATATACTGTCTAAACTTGTTACCGCAACCAACAAAACAAGAAGTCAAGTTAGTGAGATAAGAGTGGTACAGGTAGAGATAATTAGCCTTTGGCTATCACAGAGAGAAGCACCACCAAGATCACAAAGCCAGACTATAGTTATGCATTTTGGTAGTTCTTGTGCTATTGCTGTGTGGAAAAACAGTCCAAGGAAAAGTCTGATAAATCATGACTGTGATAAAAGAAAGTGTAGCTGTAGACTCTTTCAGTCTTTCTAACGCTATTAAAAGCTTCATAACACTAAAAATAGTAGCAGCTTTTAAACCATATTAACTTTTATAGTGCTTCAATTCCCCCTCCCCCCCAAGATAAATCAAGAACTGCATTGAAGTCCTGGGTTCATAAGTAAACTCAGGACCAAGAACAACACTGTGTACTGGGGGGCCTAAACTGTACACGAAAGATATTGATAAACTTGACTAAGTCCAGTGGAGAGCCACCCAGATGGTCAGGGGGCTGGAACACATGCCTATGAGGAGGGGCCTAGAGAAGAGAAGGCTTAGGGGGACCTAACAGCAGCCTTTCAGTACCTACAAGGATACCATCAAGAAGATGGAGCCAGGCTCTTCACAGTGGTGCATGGTAGGAGGATGAGAGACAACAGGCATAAGTTGAAACAAGAGAGGTTCAGACTGGAGATAAGGAGGAAACTCCTCCCCCCCCCATGAGGTCAGTCAAGCAATAGAGCAGGTTGCCCAGAGAGGTTGTGCAGTCCCCATCCTTGGATGTTTTCAAGATCAGACTGGATAAAGCCCTGAGTAACCTGGTCTGACCTCATGGCTTACCCTGCTTTGAGCAGGGGGTTGGACTAGAGACCTCCTGAGGTCTCTTCCAACCTGAATAATTCTGTAATAATTTTTAGTCTCCTAAAAAAGAGTGCTTTAGATAAACAGGAAGATAAGATTATTAAAAATAAATCCTCCCCTCCCCTTCCAGTTTTTCCTATTACCTCTTTTCTTCCTTTGCTCTCAGCTGTTCTTCTTGTCTCAGAACCTGGACCATTATGGACTCAAAGACACCTGTTGTTAAGCCTACTAAAGCACGAGGTGCAGAGCGACGTCTTGTTGAAGCACATGCTGCTCCCTTCTCATCTTCCAGCCCATAGCACCCTCTTGATGTTACAGCTATTGTTGTTTTTGCTCTCAAATGCCTAGAGGGAAAAAAAGCAAGTCAATTCACAATTACATTTTCCTGATCAGCAGCAGTTTGACACCTGCACTTCCAAACATAGAACAATCACACTAACAATAATTGGGTTTTTTTCCTGAGCAGAAATTTCATCATAAGAATTGCCAAGTTTTTCATTTCTAAAATATAGGAACCCTTTAAAAAGTTTAATTGTCAGTTGATAGCCTCTAAAACTTGGAAACATGAATTATTAAAAATGTTGAATATTTACCTCAAAAGAATAACTGAATATTCTTTGGAAACTAATTTAGAAAAACTTATCTGTTAACATTTGGATAGAGAATCATTTTCACCAGACCTGAGATAAGAAACTAACATTTCTGGAAGTGCCACACAAAATTACTGAAAGAATTAAAAACAATCAAACAAACCAACATCAAAAAAATAATAATAATCGAGACACACAGCATGACTGAAGACTGCCTGAACAGAGTTTAGGGGGCAGGGAACGACACTGGGGACTGGCTGATGACTTTAAGTTTCATCTGACTACCACATTTAGAATTATTCCAGCACACTTAATACAAGGAGAGTGACCCTCTATCACACCACCTCTGGAAAACAAAAAAACAAACAAACAAACAAAAAAAAAGAAGAGGGGAGAGGGGAAGAACCCAAAAAGCTCTATTTTTCAGAGCCAAATAACACAAACCAGATTCTTCAGGCGAATACAACAGCTAGAAAGGGTCCACAATGAACAGTCCTCCCAGCATAGGGTTTACATGAATGTATGTGCTTCCTGCCCCACCCCCAAAAGCCATAAGAACACACAAACAAACACCTTCCCCCTCCTTGAAAGGTTTACATCATGGCACTACAAACAGTTCTCCTGGCACAATTGACAGGGCAGAGAACTGTGGTGTAGCAAAAAAAAAAAATGAATGGTAAGTGACTGGAACTTCTTAACTCATCTTTACCACTGAATAAAACACTTCACATAAGACTTTGAGGTATGGTTATATACACACTAGCACATTACATATAGAATGTATATATATTCTATAAACCTGAAATACTTTCTTCGTTACCATCTGTCACAGGCAAAACAGTCTTGAGACAAGAAAATTTAATTGAGTTAGTTTATTGCCAACCAACACAAACCTCTGATCACCGATTTGGGTATTGAGAAAAAGGAGGACATAAGCAATTAAACAAACATAAACACCTATCCTCCCCCTTTCCCAGTCTCAACTTGTGGTGAAAATGCAGAAAGTTATACTCAGTCCATCAAAATTCCTCTGGCAAGGTGACAGGCAGCACAGGAGGTTTAGGTAGCATGCATAATAGTTTCTTTCTGCTGCCCTATGCTTAATGGTTTCCTGCTGCTCTGTTCCTTAGCGTACCTGCTCCAGCGTAGGTCACCCATGGGTCACAGTCCCTTCAGGGGTGTATATATATCCCCTTTTGGCACAAGGTACCCTCCTCCAAGAGGGTATCTCCAGTCCCGAGCAGCTCCTGGTTTCTTCAATAAGTTTGAGCAGGGGCACCATGCACTTCTTTGACTGGATAAAGTTTTGGTATATGATGGCAAAGTTCGTCCCGTCCCATTCCCCCCCCCCCCCCCCTTTTTTTTTTCAGAGCTGGCTGGAACTGCTTTCAACCGGCACATTACAGTTCATGACCTCCTCCCACACAGGTCACCACTGCAGCCCCCTGCTACTTACAGCCTATAACTTATGCCCATTAAACCATCTTCCCACATCAACTGAAAATATCCTATTGATGTAACTAATCCTTAAATATGGAGTCCAAATACAAAGTTGTAGTCTTCAAATACAAAATTAAGGTACACAGCTTTTTCATGATGTATAATAGAGAAGCATGTTTAAAACAAAAACACACATGTGAAGGATGTCTGAATTATACTTTGCAATCATATCCCAGATTAATTCTAGGGTCATTTTGTGATGTTTGCAGCATTTCATTTGAATAGCAATGTACTTATTTAAGCCCAGATGTTCCTTTGATCAAAGCATTTTTCCCCACACACACACAAAAGGCCTGATCAGCCTCCATCTGCAAATCCACCTCTTCTGTTGCCCTTAATCCAGACACAAAGGAAAGCATGAAGTACCACCTCCACAGAAATACTATCATTGCATTTAAAGGGACACAGAGATTTCACTGGACAAATAAGACCATCTGTGGTAGCCTGGGCAAATAAGGTCAACTAGGTACCACATTCCTCCATCACACACTAGAACTACTAAAAAGTGCAGCAGTTACATTACTGTCCAGGACTTTATCACAAGTTCTTACTGCTCCAGCTTCAAGAGTCAAAAGACTAGAGGATGGCATCTTCAACCTGAAATCACAGCAAGCATCTAAGTAGTTCTGATGGAACACACGAAAACATGACACCCAAAGAATAAACCCCAGAAGGCATATAAAACCTCTTCTAATTAGCAATTGTTAAGTCTCATCATCTAAGCAATTGAAGTACCCTCTTCCTCCAATACCCACCCTTTGCCTTCTGTTGGCTCTAACGATTGCACGGCCACAAGGCAAGTTCATCAATAAGCTGATGTCACAGAAATCCAAAACCACCAAACCGTAACCGACACAGTATTTCCCTTGGATCAGAATAATGCAAAACTGCAGTCTTAATGCTTTAGGTCTCTAAGGATGTAAAGAGAGTTTCCCATATAATACAGGAACCCTTCCTTCCATTTGCTTGAGGAATATTTCCCATATCTCCCAAATCAGTGTGGTTGGGGGGGGGCAAACAAAGGGACATCACCTATTTCAAGGTAAGTTTTCTTCTAAACATTTTAAAATTTGGTTTGTCACTGTCATATGGGGGGGGGGGGAAACGGGGGGGAAGGAGACCAAGTTCAGTAAGAGAGGAAATTTCTTTCCTATGTTACAGACTATATCATAGAATCCCCAGGTTTATCTATTAAATTGGAATCTTCCAGTACACAATTTACATGTTCCCCATACAACTAAATAAGCATTATGCATTATTTCATACTATAAGCAACTGAAAACAGAATCCTATAATGCTGCAAAACTATCTTTTTTAGCTAAAGTTGTTCAGGCCTGGTTTCTGCCCCAGGCTGAAAATTCATCTTTTTTATGTGAAAGTTTCAGTTATTTCACAGTTCACAGAGAACATATCATTTAGAGAAAAAGAATTAATAAACTTGAAACCAGGTGTTTTCATGTTTTCAGGCTGAAATGAGCCAGCTATAGCTCTTCTTTCAGGGATATACCTTTCACCTCTTCCTCTGAAGAGAGGGAAAAAAAAAATCCATTAACATTTGTCCATTTTGTGATATTTTTACAAAAAGAAGTTGCCTTCTCTCAGACTTCAGAAATGTTGGTTGTTGAAATTCTGAAGTATTGGGCAATTTACAAAACATGCAGTAATTGGACAAAACAAAAACAACACACACACGACTAAACTCTACTTATTAGTCCAGGTACAGGGACTAATTAGCATCTTGGTTCAGATCAAGAACATGCTTTTGAAGCAAACCTAATATCTGCACTTAGGCTTTGATTCACATCACTGAACAGTCTTGGAGTGCACAAACTGGACTCCTTTTGGATGAAACTAAACTGAAAGATGCATTCCAAGAACCCACCTAATGGGCTCTAACTGCTAATGGGCATTTGGTCCCCAGGAATAGAATAGAGCTAGACTGAAAAAAGACACCCTGAAACACATATAGCATGTATGTCAGGTCCTCAGAACCAACCTCACAGATCTGTCCCTACTGTATTAGTCCACTTGTTAACGTGGACATAGCCCCTGTTAACGTGGACATAATAGCAACAACCCTCATTTTAAGGCAGTTTTCTGTGGTTTGCAAGACCACAGGATCTCACAGGCAACATTGTACTTGGCAGCATGATTAGCACTCAGAAGCCCACCACAACATCCAGACATTTCCTAAAATACTACCACCTATCCTACAATCATCCAAAGATGTGTCCTACTGGCATTGTATATTTGTTTTTCTTTTGTACAAAATCAGTTTCAGATTTCCAAGAGTTATGGAAGATTCCCAACTCCCTTAATCCACATATTGATTTGGGAAACATTCCCCAGCTCATTCCAACAAACAGCCTAACTTGTTAAGCATTCTACTATCTTTTGACCTTTCCAGACTGCCCCACATCAACACTGGTGAATTTCCCACAGTAATCAATCAATCCCTGAAATAGCACAGGGAGAGGAAACAGAAATAAAACAAAAGAAGATCTTATTGTTGATAAAATGTTTAACTCGGCATGGTAACCAGCAAGTCACCAGCCTCTATATCTGAGAACTCAAAAATCCCAGCCCCTTCCAAACCATCACTGAGTAGTCACAAAGCTTAGAAGCAGTGCTCTATCAAAGAGTTGATTCAGGAAGCACTCCACAAAAGTAACTACTCAGATCATCCTCCTGCTCCTCCATTAGTTGCACTACCTCTGCATCAAGAGCAAACCATACTGCCCAGCTCCTCCCCCTGCACAATTCTAATACAAGTGTGGTCTTTTACAATGAATTATTACTCAATTGTCCTCCATGCCACTTAACAGCAGTTTGAAAAAAAAAAAAATACTTGAAAGATGCCAAGAGAAGAAACAAAGGTTTCTGAATCTCACTGGCAATCTCCGAACTCCTTCAATTTCTAATAGACATCTCAATGCACAAGGAGGGAAGAAAGAACAAAGAAATCACAAAACAGAACTAAGTGGAACACCTCACTGTGCAATATCTACTTACAATACCAAACTTATTCCAACACATACCAAGCATTACATAAACAACAGTTTACAACACTTTCTTTTTAACTGCCACAACAAAGAGGTAAAAATACTTCAGTGTAGTTAAGTTGCTGCAATCACAGCAAATTTAGTAGTTTGATGCAACATTTCTATAGAGACATAAGCATTTAAGCAAACCGTAGCAGAAGATGCAAAGTCAAAGCATATTAGTCCTTGCATAGACAATCATTCAGAGCTTATGCTGTAGTAATTTACTCTTCCAAGAATATCACTAACTAAAAAGGAACACATACAATTGACAGCAGATGACAGAAATAACAACTTGTACATAACAACTTGGAGGATTTGCTCCAACTGAACCCTTATTCCCTTCAAACACCATTGCTGCCAGTAAAGTTTTTTTTTTTTTTTAAATGGAGTAAGGTAACTGCCACATAATGCAGGTGGAACAAGAAATTAATGAAATATAACTAGCATCCTGTAAATTAACAGCTTCATTCACTTCAAAATAGTTTCCATAAATTGACAGGTGCAGTGTCTGCCCTTGAGATACCTAATCTATGGCAGAAATTGAAGAATCCAGGATTCATAATAAAAAGCTTCTAGATAAACCAGAAAATAGCCCTTCTTAAGAGTCTTCTCTCCATGCACTACCCTAGATTAAATGGATTCTTATCTCAAATATTCAATTAGACATTTCTTTACCATCACCTTATGATAGGAGTTCAGTCATCATAAAATGGCTGAATGTTGATGGCCATCAACTATCAGGTGGTCACAGGTAACATTGATATTATTACAAATAACTATAGTTACTTTTAACCATAGTAGGAGCAACCACCTATCTAGAAAACAGGGAGGAGAAATACTTTATGAATAATTCATTTGTCATAATGTCAGTATAAAGTAGTTGTGGAGGCATAACTTGCAGGAGTGGACAGAACCCTCCTTCCTGATGCAGATCACATCATCAAGGTTGAAGAGTCCAAACTTGTAGATAGGGTGAAGGTAACACCGTTTAAGAGACAGTAGGGATGCCTCAGTATACTATCACCAGGGAAAAGGCTTTAGACTATCTCTTACTACCCCACCACAGCTCCAAAATTAGTCAGGTTTCCCTGTACTGCAACAGATAAGATAAGGGATAACAAGAGTTTCCTTCCCTTGTAAACCCATGCTTGACTTGAGTCAAATCTAATTTGGTTAGCTATTTATGTCAGCAATTACTCCTTTAAGTCAGCAGTATCCAATTTTTAAGCAAATTTCACTTGAGAACACTTGGCAATGTTCATGCCCCATTGGGTTCAGCTCTTTCCCCTCTACCCCAAACCTGTTGCTATGCAAAAAATGGTTCCAGAAGTGTAGCATTGATGCACCAAACCAGAATACATCTACCACAGTTTGTTCAACCAAGTTCTGCAACACACTCCTTAAGCATTCCCACTAAGTGGTCAAGGTACATCTCACCAGCAGGCAGCACTGCTCTGTGTCACTAACAAGTTTGAGATAAGTGGAGATTTTATTTTTTATTTTATATATATATAAAATAAAAACTTAACACCTTACCTCTCACCCCCCCTCCCCCATACAACTTTCAACTTTGACAGAAAAGATAACAAGCTCCTTCCACAGAAGGCTGGTAGACCTTTCATGGTAAGAAGCATCCATGTTTTTTGGAATACAAACTAAGTCTTTTGGAATACAAACTAAGTCAAGCATATATCACACTTTTCTGATAAGAAAACTCATGCTTGAGTTGTGACTCAAGTTGGACCTTTTACATTATATCTAAAAGTTCTCCGTTCTCCAGTTGTCTTAGCTGAAGAAGAAATTGCTGCCAGGGACTTATATTTACCTGTATCATAGTTGCCATTTTGCCTTTTAAGATTACGATGAGCATGAGCCAAGGGCCATCTTCCCTTTGTATATCATCATCAAGTACTATGCTGACATTTAATAGCAGTGTCAAACAAGGCAGTTCAGGCTGTATATTTCATTTAACGTACAGATAAGATAGATATCACTGTAACATAACACTGTACAAGTCATAAGGTATATCATTTACTCTTAACAGATAGGGCTGTCAATTTAAAAAAGGCATTCTATAGAAGTTGGGCAGATTCACTGACTTTCACCAGCATAAAACAAGGGAAACAGTTAAATTCAGCATTACATCCAAACATGTCATGAGAGGCTTCTTTCAGAAGTAAAATCTCTAGCCAGGAACTGCTGAGCCCTGTTTTGCATTTTGGTATTGAGTATTCAGGTCCAGCATCTCCAAAACTATTTCAATTAAAAATGAGACATTGAATGGTTCTCAGTAGGAGCAAGTCCTCAAACCATACAACACTGCCACAAAGAAATACACCCTCCTACTTGGTTTTCCATAAATGGCATCTGCCCAAGCCTCTGAACACAATCCTTTACTGCACCTACCGGGACAACAGTGCCAGCTTCTGTTCCAGCATCATCTCCAGCTTCTGGGCCTGTTTGGATAGCCAGTGATCCACACCATGAAGCCGGTAACACATCTCCAGCATCAGTCGGAAGTCAGCCACGAAATCTGTTATCCCTGTGTACTGCCCACTGGAAAATTTCTCTTCCATCTTCAGCAGCCACATTCCAGCTGATGACTGCTGAAAGGAGAGATTACTGTTATAAACTGACTGGGATGCAGCTCCTCCTTCATCTCTGATGGATGCCTGATCTGTGAGTGGCTTCAGAAAAGGTGCTGTCAGCGGCCGGTGCTTCTCCAGGAGAAACTCGCAGAGGATGCGGTACCCCTGCTGCAGCTCTGGGCTTAGATTCTGCTCCCAGGGGCAGCTGCTGTTCTTGTCTCCTGCATCATCATCCTCATCCTGCTGACGATCCTTCTCCCTCTCTGGAGGGCTGCTGGATAGAGCTGGATCTTCTGAAACCTCTCCGGCTGGAACAAGGGGCGATGGCTGCTCCATAGCCCCCACAGGCTGTGCCAGGTCCATTTCTCTCACCCCGCGTACGCATGCACGCATACTGTATCACTCCTGAAGGGGGCACTCAGCCCAGGAATTAAGCTCTTCAGCATCGGCTAAAGACCTCTGTACTCCTCCTTTCACCGAGTCAAGGAACCGAGATCGAGTTCACTTACGTATACAGATCAGTCTCTCAGCACGCTCCCTCCGACGTCCTCACCCCTGCCCTAAGGTGGGAAGAGGAACGTTAACTTCCTCTGGAGCAACAGGAGAGCAGACACCCCTGGCTACTGAGTGGCCCGTCCCTCCGCAGTGCTAACGCCACTTTCTCAGCGAGGTCTCTCCCGGTTCTAGTCAACCACCTAAAACGAGCTCAGCTGAACCTACACACAGCTCTACTTGCTTATTTCCTCCCACTAACACTAAGAAAGCAAGCTACTGCTAGTACTGCGCCTACTCCGGAAGTAGCTCCCTACCCGTTGTCCTCATGTACCGCCCTCTTCACGGGACATTCAAGCGTCGTCATTCCCCACCCCCACTCCACCCCCTTTCTCAAAAGAGGGGCGAAGAAAACATCGGTTGGCACTCAATTCAGCCTGTAATCAGCTCCTCTGGCTACTCCCACTACCTGTAATAGACAAGAGGCTCCCCACCAGCTGCTTCCTGCCCTCCAGAAACTGTCCCCACCTGCATGTATCATCCCTTCCTCATGATGCGGCCACTACCATTGCTGATCTCTCATCCCACACGATCCTCCTCCATCACCCACCTCGCGACTGACAGCTCCCGAGAAAAAGGAGATGAGCCAGGCTGCAGGGCCTGAGTACGCAGCGGCAGCAACAACAGAAACGACAGCAGACACCGCCTTCTCGCTCACAGCCCCTAGCCGGCCTCTATCTATGCTCCGGACATTTCCCCTTCTCATTTCACAGCACAATAGAGCCAAATCTCCTGATGCAGGACATGGCTACTACCGAAACTAGCAACAGCGTCAGTTAATAGCACAGCGAGGACAGGTTAGTAGAAAAAAGCAACACCTTGGCCCTCTGAGCGGCCTAGAAAAGGAACGAGAGAG